AATAAAATAAAATAAATGACTTTTAGGGACGTTGAGCAATGATAGCTTAGCTAAAGTCATTAGCATGGTAAATGTTATATATTTTCTTTACCATGGTACCACGTTGATTTTGAAAATTGTTACATATTTTTTATATTCACATGAATTTGAATTCTGTAGGGAAGCTTGATAATTAAAGGTTTTACAACACCTTTTGTGATGGTCAATGGAAGCTCATTCAAGGTTTTATGGTTCTAGCTAGATGTATGAAGCATTCTTCATTATATTTGATGCAAAAAAGATACTTGATTCATTATCAATGCAGTGGATAAAAATGATACAATTGAGCTTTGGCACAAGCAATTTAGTCATATAAACAAGAAAGGGTTAAAAGGTTTTAGCCAAGAAAATTCTTCTTTTTGGAGTGAAGAATATATATTTGAAAAAGTGTGATCATTGCTTGGCAAAGAAACAAACTAGAGCTACATTTAAAACATACTTTCCATCAAGGAAACTAGTATACTCAATTTAGTATATTATGATATTTTTGGTCTTATGAGAATAAAAAAACTTGGTGGTTCTCTTTATTTTGTAACTTTTATTGATAATCATTCAAGGAAATATGGGTTTACACTTAAAAAATAAAAACCAAGTGTTAGACATATTTAAATAATTTCATGCTTTAGTTGAAAGACAAAGGAGTTTGAAATTGAAATGCAATAAGACTAATAATGGAGGTCAGTATTCTAAAACTTTTGATAAGTATTGTAGATGGCATAGTATTAGCCATCAAAGGTCACTTTTTAAAACTCATCAATTGAATGAGTTGGTTGAGTGGATGAACAAGATAGTAGTAGAAAGAGTGAGAAGTTTGTTTTCATAAGCGTAGTTACTAAAATCCTTTTAGGAGAGGCTTTAAGTATAGTTGTACATGTTTTAAATCTCTCACCATGTGTTCCTTTAGATTTTGATGTTTTAAATAAACTTTAGTAAAGCAAATATGTCTCCTATGATCACTTGCCCCCTTGGATGCAAGGCTTTTATGCCCATTCGTAAATATGAGAGGTCCAAGCTTAATGTCAATACAAAATAATATGTGTTCCTCGATTGTAGCCAAGATGAGTTTAACAAAATGTTTTATGCTCCAATGCAAAAGAAATTTATGAGAAGCCAAGATGTTGTTTCTATAAAAGAACACACTATATATGATATTAAGAAGATTGATACATTAGTTCAATAATGCAGTGAAGGTTTGATTGACAAAGTTTGAGATGTTTATGATGACAAGCATAATACAAGTGACGTTGATATTTATCCTATATAGGTTAAGGTAGGTAATGATACCCATAAGTAATCACCAGTATTACAAGTTCTACTAGAGGTTTTACAAGATGTTCCACTCAAGAGGTTTACTACATATCAACAACCTTTGACATGGTATTTTATTGATAAGTGTATACTACTAACTGATGGGGGAGAACCTAAATGATATGTAAAGGCCATAGGAGATAAGCATAAGAAAGATTAGGTTGACCCATGCAGGATAAGATAAAATCTTTGTATGAAAATAATACTTTTTAGCTTGTAAAGCTACTTAAGGGGCTTTGAAAAATAGATTGGTATACAAAATGAAACAAGAAGAACACATTTCACAGCCACGTTTCAAAGCTAGATTGGTTGTTAAAGGATTTAGCCAAAAGAAAATTATCGATTTTGATGAAATCTTTTCTCTAATTGTTAAGGTGCCATCTATTTATGTGTTTCTTGATTTGGTAGCTAGCCTTGATTTGGAGATTGAGTAGATGGATGTCAAAATTGCTTTTCCTCATAGTGACTTGGGAAATAAGATTTACATTAGAGCAGTTAAAAGATTTCGTAGTTTAAAAAAAAAGAATTATGTGTGCAAGTTGAACAAAAAGCTTTATGGATTGAAACAGGAACCAAGACAATGGTACAAAAAGTTTCAATCATTGATAAGTGAGTAAAGCTATTGAAAAACTACTTCGATCTATTGTGTGTTTGTGCAAAAATTCTTTGATAATGATTTTATTATATTGCTACTTTATGTTGTTGACATGTTAATTGTTGGATAAAATGCTTCCAAAATTGACCAATTGAAAAAAGAATTGAATAGATCATTTGCTATGAAGGACTGAACGCCAGCAAAACAAATTCTTGAAATCCAAATTCATTGAGACAAAACAACTAAGAAGTTATACGTATCACAAAAGCACTATCTTGGAAAGGTGCTTGAAAGATTCAATATGGATCAAACTAAAGTGGTTAGTTCTCTTGTTGTTACAAATTTTAAACTAAGGATTAAGTAGAGCCCTTCAACAACTAAAAAGAAGGAAAACATGAAAAGAGTTCATATGCTTCAACATAAAAAGGTTGATGAACATAATGGTGAGTACTAGGCCATTGATAACCCATGTAATTGGTGTTTTTAGTTGTTTTCTATCAAATCTAAAAAAAAAGGTATTGGAATGCAACCAAGTGGATTATGAGTTATGTACAAGACATTTCCAACTTAAGACTCATTTTTGGATGTAGGTTTCACCAATTTAGATATGGTAGGAGATGTGGATTCTCAAAAGTCCACTTCGAGTTTTTTTTTTTTATTACATTCTCAGGTGAGGTTGTATCCTAGCAATCGAAACTATAAAAATGTGTTATACTTTCTATAATAAAAGCAGAGTATGTTGCAATAACTGAAGCATGTAAAAAGTTATTATAAATGAAAAAGTTCAAATAGGAGCTCAACTTCAAGCAACAGTACTATGTGATATTTTGTAACAATCAAAGCTCAATTCACCTTGGTAATAATTCCACTTTTCATTCAAGATCAAAACACATTGATGTGAGGTACTATTGGTTAAAAGATGCTCTTATTGACAACTTGTTTCAACTTTAAAAGATTTATACTAATCACATTGGCTCTGATATGTTAACAAAGACATTACTGAGGAGGAAACTTGAAGTTTGTCATTTGATCCTCAAGATGGCAATTCCCTCCACATAGTCAAAAAATGGGAGATTTATTAGGCTTGGGTTTCCTCTATGTAGAGTATCCTAAAGCCAATAACCCAAGGATTTTTTAGTCCTTCAACATATGATTGTATTTAAAAGGTTTTAAAACTCTTATGTGTAATAACGGCTCGTAGAAATGTGACGTTGGCTAGTAGAATTGGTTGGCAACAAGGAAGGAAAGTGAAACAAGAAAAAAAGAAAAAGAGAATAACAAGGGAGAATAGGGATTTTTGGTGCAGTTTTAATTAAAAAGCCAAATTAAGGTTAATATATGGTCTAATCGAGTTGAAATTTTATCGATGTGATCATGATTTATTACTTTTCAATCTAAACGATGAAGATTAGGTTTAAAGTCTCATACCTATGAATTTCGTAAATGTTTGTTAATTCTTGGTGAGGTTTCTCTAATTTTCTGTTGCAATAGTATTTCTTTGCCACAATTGTTTAATCTTAAGATATTACAATTGTGTACCTCTAATTTTAGCTAAAGAGAATTTGTATTCCCATGATTTTATAGTAGAGATTATTTGTTGGTGTCTATAATTTTTTCTCTTCATATAGAAGTTTTTCATATAAAATCACTTATCGTTGTATTTGTAGTTTGATGCTTTATTTGTTAGTATTGTTTTATTTGTTTGATTTCTGCTAGATTCATACAAGAAAGGGATAATTTAATTTTTTGCTGCATGATATATTTAGTGAAATATTGTTTAAGATTGTTTTATCCTATCGGTTATTAATGAAATGCTTGGTTAACGAAATGGAATAAAGAGGAAACGAAATAAGTATTATGTGAAAATAGAAAATAAAAGGTAGCTATTATGATGTTTGGTTCATTCAAATGGAATATAATGAGAATTAGTATTAATATACTTGGTTAATATTAATTAATTAATTAATTAATTATTAATTTCATTCATTCATTTCTTCTTATTATTAATTATTAATTAATTAATAAAAAAATTAATCATAATTAATTAAAATTAATTATGTAATACTATTTGTAATAATTAATTTACAAAAGTTTAATATATTTTTCATTTACTTTTAAAATATTTATTTCCTATTTTCTTTACTATTTCCTTTTTTCCTTTTGCCATTTCTTTCCCTCAACAGCCACCCTTGGTGGTAGCTAGAAAACTTTTTTTCACGAGTAATGATAAAGAAACAATTTAGCACCGTTGTCAGGGAATCAATCTGACCATGCCAATGTTCAAATCTGACGACCATCGAGCCTAGCAGGAAGTTATTTAATGTATAAATTATTGATTTTTATCAATAATTAGATGATTCAATCACTTAAACTTAACCTCCTTAATGAAAAGGTCTTAAGTTTGATAGTCATTTATTGAGATCATCTCAAATGCATAATTTATAATCACTTGTATTAAATTATTAAATACGATACATTTTATCTTGATTTAAAAGATTAAACAATCTATCTACTTTCGAATTTTTATTAACAAAAAAATTTATTGACTTTTAAAATTAAATCAAATTGAATCTTGATATAGTAAGATTTTATCAACTATGATTAAGTTATTTAATGTTATATTTTTATCAAATTGTAGCAGATTTGTAATTTTAATTTTGGATACCATACAAAATATGCTCTTATTTATAATGCATTACGTAAATCAAATTTAGTTATAATGATAGAAAATATTTTTTTTTAATTATTTTTACAAGATACTCATAGATAAAAACGATAATCTCAAAAAATTATAAAAAATTAAAAAATAATTCAAATTATTAAATATTAGTAGATTATTTCTTTATATTATATTATTATTTTATTAAATTAATATTTTAAAAATAAAGTTATATTTAATTTATATTTAAAATAATGCGAATTCAAATTATGTTAAATGATATCATTTCGGATTTAAATTGAAGGAATTTGAATTGTTGGTTATTTCATCAAATAAAATAAAGTAGAATTCGAGTCTGGGCAAGATGAAGTCAACTTTGATCTACAACTTTTGTTCTTTTTGTTGGGGATAAAATATTAATATTACTGTAACACAACAAAGTGACATTTTCCGTAATACAAAAATTAGTGGAAGAAGGGTCAAGGGCAAAGGCAAGGGAAGACTGAGGTTAGAAGGTTCCGGAAACAAAGGAGACGAGAGGAACGGAAAGGAGGGCTTTGGGGCCAATAAATCCCCTTCTCCATTCTCTCTCTCTCTCTCTCTCTCTCTCTGTCTCTCTGAAATCAGAGGTATCACATTCACAGGCCCAGCCAATCAATAATTATAATAATTTGGATCCATAAGCGTAATAGTAAAGGGAAAGAGAAATCAAATGGAGAAGAAGCACCAGGGGCAGGGAGCGTCGTATACTTATTGGGTAAGAGAAGCAACTGCCGACGCCGCTTCGCTCCCTCTTCCCAAGAAACTCACCCACCAAGACATGCTTTCCGGCCAATCTCACACTGCAACTCTTGGTTCTGTCTGGAATCGGGTACTTTTCTTCTTCACGCTTCTCTTTCATTTATTTATTCATTTTCATACACGATCTATGGTTTTATTGATGGGTAATTGATTCCAAATACATTAAAAATTTACAACAACCGTTTGCCCTTGTTGAGTTCCCCCAGGCTGGAACTTGGGAGGAGAAAAACCTTAACAACTGGTCTACCCACAGAATAAAGGTCTGTCTGCAAAACTCTGCTTTTATTCTAATTGCGAAAATGTACTGAAAACCAAATTTCATTTCCCAGGAATTGCTTCTATCTGTTGGCCCCTTGGACTTCTCTTCCGGCAAGGCTGAAATTGATGATGTGACAAAGTGTGTTGGCGATGTCAGTGTTTCCAACTTTCATTTTTCATCAAGCATTCTTCTTTTATTCTGCTACACGCATTTACCCTTTTGTTTTGGTCTTACATTATTCTTTCACGAATTAGCTATGCTAAACTAGACCTCTCGCTGTACATATCTCGCCATGTAGATAAAATAGAAAAGAGATACCTGTTTTAGACAGAAACAAAGCATAGGGGATCTGATAACATTTTAGAAGATAAGAAATTCTTTATTCAATAGCTAAAATGTACTGAAAATACTATACATAGAACCCTATTTATATATGAAAGACTCTCACTAACTAAGAAAAGAATCTCACACAATATGGTAATCGTATATTAATCCTAGATATTATTTTGACTACAATATCGTAAAATCTAATATTACATTTGATTACATAATTACATAATATTACATTAACATTATTCTTCCCAATCTTTTTTTTTTTTTTCTTTTTTTACTCAGCTCTGTTCTATTGGCTCATCACACCTTGATATTGATGCTTGGAACATTTCAGGAAAATAAAAATGGATTTCTAACTGGTGAATGTTTCCTGATTGAGCAGGCATTTTTGGTGACTGTACGAAACAAGAAGCGTGTTGGCTACACTTATGAGTTGACATTAAAAATCAAAGGTAACTTAGGTCTAAATGTTATATCATCCTTTACTTTGTAGTGTATTAATAATTTGCTGATCAAATTGGGATCTTAACCAAAATCAGGCGAGTGGCATCTAAGGGGGGAGAGAAAATCTGTTAAGGGCCATATTGATATCCCAGAAGTCTCATTCGGTGAGCTCAATGACTTGCAGGTATGATCTATATTTTCAGTTGATTGCCTAAAAAAATTTCTATTTGGTGTAGAAGAGATATTGGGATACACTTCTTGAATAGATGTCGATATACCTAAAACCAAACATGTTATCATGCGTGAGCCTACGGGCCTACGGTATACATTTGATGACTACCAGCTCTAGGAGGACATTTGTTGCAGAATATGTCTTGAGCAACCTTATAATGACATAAATATTGCCAAGTGACAAAAGATGGCATAAATTGATGAACCAAGTATTGACATTGCTATGGTGTTTTTTATTGTAGAAAGATAGATTGGAACAAAACAGAGTAAAAGAGTAAGAGAGGAAGATCATACTCTTCATGAATTTAAGCACAAAATAAAAGACATATGGATTTGTTATTGGGCCTGAGCTCAACATGAGCTGCTTGATCTGTTAGAGTGATTGTGTTCCAACCAGATTTTTGCCCTTAAGAATTGTGCTTTAATAAAGAACATAAGCATTTTTTGTTATCATTTGTTTAATGTTTGAGAGCAAAATTTTATTTGAATTTATCGCATTGGATGAATTGCAAAAACTCTTGTGGTTTTAATGGAAATACATATACCTCCCATTAGTATGAAGAACCTACTTTGTCCATCTTAGAATAATAATAGTGTCAATTACCAAGGTAATTTTAAAAAATAAATTACAAGCAGTTACATCATCGACATATTGGTCTCACATATTTAGGCATATGATAATTGGCATTTGCATTTGCATTGAAGAAGTCATAACATGCATGGAAATAAGTTCACTTAAAATTAAGTTACAAGATTAATTAGTTTTAATGTAATGTTTAATTAATAACTAAATTTACATTAAGTCTAATTAGAATTCAATTATATATTAAATATATCAATTATCTTTAACTAACGTTTATTAATTTTGAGATAAATATATTAAAGTATTTTTAAATAAAATATCTTAACTACCGTCATATGGGAAAAAAGGTCTCACGATAAAGTTCATTAAAACAAAAAAAAAAATGTAATGAAAATGGAGCAAAGAAGTGAGAGAAAATGAAACAATAAACGAAATGAGGATATTTTTGAATTTGAAGTAAAATTTGACCAAATATTAATTTTAACTTAATTTACTGTTTTAGGAGAGAAAGATGGCTTTGTCAAACTAAAGCCATTTCATGTATTTTCACTAAATGCTTAGGGGAGGGCAATCATTATCCCTATTACAATTCATAATTAGGAGTATGGCATGGGTGAAGAAACTTTTTCTTCATCTCTCTTTAGTCTTTAGCAACCTGTTGTCTTTTTGAGTTGTAAAGAGAGCTAGACAAAGATGATAGAAACTAACTAAAATTTTTATATATTTTTTGCATGATCATAGATGGAGGTGAAGCTTAGTGAAGAGAAGGATTTTCTGCAGCAAGACAAGCTGCAGATTATCCAGGACTTGAAGCTATTTTTGCAGCCTTTCCGCGAGAAATTGTTTCAGTTTGAACAAGAGCTGAAAGATAAATAGCAGGGCTAAAATATTGGATTTGTCTTCATTTAAACTTTGATTTTGATGAAATTTATTGGATTTTAACTGTACTCTCATGTCTTTGGAGCCACCGCTTATTGGATTTTTGTAATGGAACATAAGACTGTTAAGGAGGCAAAGGTCTCCAGTGATGCTTAAATGTGCTACTAATGTTGTGATCAAAGACACTAGATAGAATGTTTGCCTGCATATGTAGTTGAAGTTTTCCACAAATATTTGTATTATGTTTTCTTTGCATTGGATTGATCTTTTAGCACACCCATTAGAAAAACGATTGTGCACCAAAGGTCAGAGATAGTACATGTCATGCGTAATATGTATGTGTGTATAAATATATATATATATATATGTATGTACCGGTAAACATGGCTTTTTTGTAGCTTCTATATGTATTTAACTTGAAAAGGAATTAAATGTCTATGTTTTCTTTTTTAAATTTTTTTTAAAGTAGTGTTTTAAGTAAATGATGAATCATGAACTAAAACTAGGAGAGGAGATGTGGCATGAAAGGGTGTGAATGAGTAAAACGTTGCACTCATAGTTTGTGGATAAGTTTTTTTTATTATTATTTATCCATTTATTAAGCTTAATAAATAATCAAAAATAATATTTGAAGTCTTTTTTAAAGATTTGGTCAACATTTTTTAAACAATTTAAAATATATTTTGTTTTATGAAGTTTTATTACATTTTTGTTACTTTTATAATTGATTATTTAATTATTGCATAATTTAAAAGTACAAAATAAATTAAATATGTAGACAATATTGCTTTCATTAAATACTCCATGAGAAAATAACAGTGATGGTGAACCTTGACCTTGTAGTTAAAAATAGAATAATACACAAACGACACCGCATAAAGGTTAAATTGTGTCATAGGTCTTTGAATTTTGATTTTTAAGAATTTAACCCTTATAATATTATTTTAAAAAATTTAGTTCTTGTAATATTATTTTTTAAAAATTTAATCCTCAGTATTATTTTTTAAGAAATTAATATTTGTGTATTATTAACCAATAAACTAAAATTTTTAAAAAATAATATTATAAAAAATAAAATTTTTAAAATAATATTAGAGATTAAATTTTTCAAAATAAGAAAATAAAAAAATTTATGACATATTTTAACCTCACACAAAAAAAGCAGCTACTACAAATTTCATTCACAATGGAAAAATTGGGATGGAAAATGAGTCCAAAGGCTCCATCCACATCGAAAATAGAAGAGATAGAGGTCCCCAATCTAGAACCAAGCAAATGAAATGCATTGTTTCATTGTTTTTTTGAAGAAACTCTATTTTAAAAAACTTAAGCATAAGTTACAATATTTAAAATTTAAAAGTCAAATGCCAGATTTTGCTTTAGTGGAAAGCTCTTGAAAACTACAAAAATTATCAATCCAAGTCTCAAGTCTCACTTGAATAATTAAACAAAGTGAAAGAACTTATGAATTTAATAGAATTGTGTAAACATCGAATTTTGTCTAAAATATTTTTAGCATGGTTGACCTAGACCCATTTATAACCCATAAAAAGCTTACTAGTTGGTCCATTTAAAGACCCAAAAAAAGGTCCATTTGAAGCCCATGAAGAAATCCATTAAAAAGCCCATAAAATGCATTGATATTTAGGCGTATAATAAACAAAAGAAAAGGAAACCCGTATGGTTGTTGTCAAACTCTTTTGTATGAGATTTATATGAATGATACATTTTCTCATGGCATAAGAAATAAAGAATAAATGAAGCAAGTAAATTTTAAATCAACTCTAGTCAAATATGGTCAAACTTGATCACTATGATTAAAATTAGTCAAACAAAATCAAAATTACATATAGTTGGTCAAAATGGATAAAATCGAGGTCAATCCTCAAAATTCATAACCTAATGGAAATCAATATGATTTAAAGTTAAAATTGGTGATTTTTTAAAGCATTAAAAATTTTTATTGCACTTGGGGACGTACAAAATTACTAAAATACTTTTTAGGAGTATTTTCGTAATTTGATCTTTTCAATATTGAATTTTTATAAAACTTTTCTGATCTCAATTCCATAATATTTCATAATTTTTTGTGTATTTGAAATCACAGTAATACCCTTAGAAGTGTGAAATTATGAAAATTCTCATTAGGGATATTTTCATAATTTCATTTTTTTCAAGTTCAAATTTTCATGAAACTTTTTAAATCTTAATTTCATAATATTTGATAATTTTTTTTTTTTGCATTTAAAATCATAGCAGTACCCCAGGATGTGTGAAATTATGAAAATACTTTTTATGAGTATTTTTGAAATTTGGCCTTCCTAAGCTCGAATTTTCGTGAAAATTTTTAAATCTCAATTTTATAATATTTTATAATTTTTACTACTTTAAAATCTAAAAAATGAGTATGGAAACATTGATTTATAAGAAAATGACCTAAATACCAAAAACTTTGTACTAAGGGTAAAATGGTCTTTTTATTTGGTTTAGGGGCTATAAAAATCCAATATTTATAGTGAATAATGTGGACTAATATATCTCATATTGAATCTTGATCCAATGATTAAAAATTGCTCCTTGAAAAAAAAAAAAAAAGAGAAACTTTGGCCATTGGATGAGATTTATAATAAGGGCATATATTCAATCTTTGAAAGATATTTTGAGGGGTTTTCTTTCTTACAAAAGAGGGGACAAGTTGATGAGCTGAAAGGAAAGATAGGATAATCACCTACAATAGGCAAAAGTAGCAAGATTAGTGACAAACTGGATAAATTTCATAATAATGGAAAAGATTGAAAAAAAATAACTTGAGGAGGAAGGAAAAAGGGATTTAAAGGCAGTATATAAGGTGTCTAAATGAAAGTTTGAGGGGCTTCTTTTTTAGAGGCTGAAGGAGGGAGCTACTTTTTTTTGGAGGAAAAATAAGGTTGATGAAAAAGAAAACACAAAAAAAAAGAGGTTTCTTCGATTTTTTAGCAAAGAAAAAAGAAAAGGTTTGGTAAGTAAAAAGAAAGACATTTAGGCATGCGTTAAAAGAGAGGGGAGGAAACGAAAAAAAAAAATGAAAACAAGGACTTTCAGGAACAAAAGAAATAGAAGAAAGAAAAGAAGATTTAAGAGCTCAAAAAACACAAAAGAAAAAGGAAGAAAAAACTTTAAAAGGAATAAACAAAATGACAAAGTAGAAATAGGGAAGAGGCTTGGAATTTTATTTTTAGCCAAAAAAAATAGATTCGTCTGAAGGCTATAAAAGGGAAAACAACGAGAAAAAGATGGAGACTTTGTTAGCCAAAAGGAAAGAAAGCTTGGCTAAAAATGAAGAAAAGCTAGAACTTAAGAAAAGGTAGTTTTTCTTCTTTCATTTTTTTCAGGTATCTCACATTAATCCTCTGTTGCTTTTTCATGTAAAGTTGGTTTGTGTAAAAAGAGGTTTGTGTGCTTTCCTTGTAAAGAAAAAAGGTTAAAGAGGTGAGTGAGCTTGTTAAACTAAAATGGGACAAACATCTCTAAAAAACTTAAGATAGTTCATTAAGTTGTCCTTTTTTTTCCTGGATGAATTAGAAATCTCACGCTTCATTCTTGAACAAAAGCTACTATCTTTGCTATAAAAAGATATTTTTCTTTTTAAAAGAGATGAGTTTTCAAGCAAAAATAAAACCATATTTTAATAGTTATCTGTTAGTTCTATCTAGGTGGATAACATTTAGAAGACTTAGGTGCGAGTTTATCTTTGTAAAAACATGATATCATCTTGTAAATAATGAAAAGGGGCCCTTTTTCCATTATGAAAATAAAAAATCATCTGAAAGAATAAGAAAAAAAAGGATTTGTAGGGTTTTTAATGATCAGAAGTTTTCAAATCAGGTTTCGATCCTCCTGTTACCATTATAAAAGCTTGGGATAGTATTATGTTTATATTTTTTTAGTTGGTCAAGAAAAATAAGCTTTTTTTTCTCAAAAGTAACATGATATCCAAAATAGGGGAAAGAAATAGCAAAGAAAAAAAATGGCTTGGAATTTATGCTTTATCCTATTTTATTTTTTCTTTATGTATGTCGTTTGGTAGAAGCCTGAGGTTTCATGTTGACTATTGCATGTTACTTGTCCTTTTTCCTTTGTATGGCTTTGCTATAAGCATTCCAACTTATGTTCTAGTTAGGTTTAAAGCTACTTCTTTTAAATTGAGATTTTTTGCCTTTAAATGATAAAAAGGGTGGTTTTCTTTTTAAAACCAATAGGCCTTTTGAAGTATATTGCAAGGTAGTTGAATGGAGCCTAAGAAATGTAGAAAAGAAAAACTTTTTCAAGCCTATTCTTTTTTTTTTCTTTTTTTCATAAAGGTGTCATGTCTTTTCCTTTAGCTTTTAAACTCCCAAAATAGAGATGAAATGAACCACACCTTCGAACAATGAATGCCATGGCATGAGGACTTACTACATCTGTATTACTTTCAATTTCCTTTCATGTGTGCTAGCAAGAGGAATGAAAGGATGGTTTTTTTTTTTATTAATAAAAAAGAATAAGTATGCATGAAAGCTATGGTGTGGAGACCACAACGATAAAGTAATTAGATTTTATATTTTCCTTTGGCCCTAACATGAATAAAATAATAAAAAAATAAGGTGGTAATTTAGAAAGTTTATTGGAATCTTGTGATAAATAAAATTTTATAAAATATATAAGGTTTAAAGTTTGTTTCCAACAACATTTCTTTTCATGTGTGTTAATCTTAATTATACCTATATTTTTTTTATGTTGGTTAAATTTAATTGCAAGTTTAATTTTATACATTGTTTATTTCCTCATTATGTGGATTCTTACGCTTGTTTTAATTTAGTCTTCATACTTTAATCTATTTTTGGCATATTTTATTTTTACGTAAAATAATAATAATAATAATAATAATAATAATAATAATAATAATAAAATGAAAATTTCAGATGATGGGACTCCAAAAAATTTGAGTAATGATTTTCAAGAATTCTTTAAGTGAGAAAAGTTTTTTAAAAATTATTAAAGTATTGAAATATTTAGAAATTTCTTTTCAATACGAGAAACCTCCATGTTATCATTATTTTCTTTAATTTGAGAAGTCTTTTTAAATAAAAATATGCTTTTTTAATAAATTTATGGATAACAATATTATTACATGTTTTTTTAATATTAAAGCAAATGAAAAATCTCCGAGGATGAAATTTAAAAGAAATTCGAGTAGTGATTCTTTTGA